TTTCGGTATTTTGCATTTCTTTCATTTTGACGTCATTCGCATTGTCAGATTTTTGAAATTCGTTTTGGTTCGACATTCTGCTATTTCATAATTCTTTCATTGTCATGTCATCCATCTTCCATTTCTTACCTTCCATTGCTGTTCGCATCGTCGAAGGTGCCTGTCAAACACTGCCGCCATCATGCTTTTCAGTTTGGCAGGCACGTCCGCTGTTAGAAAGAGAATAGACAAAAAGGGGCATAGGATTCCATACTTGTAAGTATATACGATGATGTGAAAACTGTGTATACGAAATTAAGCAATGAATATAACCCAAATAATGCATACGAAAAAACCCGAAATGATGCATATATGCACAGTTTCGGTTGAAAACCGCAATAGTGCATATGCATACTTTCGTTTGAAAACCGAAATAACGCATATGAGAAACACGAAGCAATGCATACAAGTTAAGCTTTCCTTTCCGAGTAAAGCGTTTTTAAAAAATAAAAACGATGCTTTTCTTAATCCGCATCTCGCGGACAATTATCAGAAGTGAAGTCTTTATTTCAATTGACTCTTATTTATAAGCTAACATTTGTTTTCTTAAGAACTAGTTTCACAATGACGCTTTGGCGTTGCATCAGCTAGTGGATGGATGAAATGCCAATGCGTGAGAAATGCGATATTGTTTTCTTAATCAAAAGTTTACAGAAGGAACGGAAAAGACATTGTTGCACGTTATGTGTTGGCTTCAATGCCGCTGTGTGGTCTTTTGGTTTGATCTTCGATAGCAAAGAATTTAATTAAGAATGCAAAAATGCTGCTGTCAGCATTTTGGCTATTTGTTATTTGAGTTCAATATGTGATATTAAATTACAGAGGTTGTTGCTTTATGATTTTAATTAAAAACTGAGTATGGGAATATGCTTTCTGTATTTGAACTTTATTGTTTACAATATGTATTTAAACCGTTATGTGTGGCCTGCCGTTAACTCCCCCCTCCCTAAGATGAATCGTCACCGATTCTGCTCTATTTGCTGTTAGTGTTTTTATTCGAAATAAAATATTTTTATATTAGTTTTCTGGGAGTTCTAAATTTTCATTTTCTTTCGTATTTTTATGTGGTTTTTGCAATTTTGTACAAAGATAAATGGCAAAAATTATGCATAAAGTAATAATAATATACCAAATGAATGAATTGGTTTTAGAGCTTTTATTTTCTTCACCTAAAATATTTATGTTTTCTAGTTTTAAAAGCTTGTTACTGGATTCTATATATTCCAATATTTCAAAGTTATCTACATAGTTATATTTCAAATAGTTCCAAATTTTAGACTCAGTGTTTTCGTATGTGATATTATTTATCTCAGTTTGATTTTCAAATGTAATTAAATATGTCCCTTCTAGTGTTCGGTTTTCGACATTATTTTTCCCTGAAATTAGTATTGCCCCTTGTTTTATTATTTCAATTTTATTGTTCCGTTCCTTAATTTTTTTACATTTTCCTTGATTTTTATTTAAAATTTCTGACAAACATGATTATTCTTTTACTAATTTACAATATGTGTTTGTTAATTCAGTTTTGCAATTATAAATATTATAAAATTTGCTTTTACAATTTGTTACATTTCTGTCAATTAGAAGCTTATCACCTAGTTGAGCTACAACCCTTGCTTCATAAAACTTACAAGTTAATTCTATTTTTGGGTATTTAGTGTAAAGTACAATTATGTCATTCTTTTGTATAATTTTAAACTCTGAAATGTCCATTAAATCCGTATCCGTCATAGTTCCATGTTGATAATAAGTGATATTTTTTAGTTCGTCAAAATGTAAAATAGTTGGGTTTAAAATTCCCATCTTTCCAAAAGTTATTGCATTTATCATGTTTTGAAGTTCATGCAAAATAAACTGATTTCGTTTCTTCTTTATATTTCTAGCAAATGTGTCACCATTAATATTTTGTACGGTATCAGTCAGTTCTGTGATAATTTTAAAAATTTCTGAGTTTGTTGTAAACTGCTTGTTATTGTTTGAAATTATCATGGTCCGGAGTTCCTGCTATCCATTTCCAGAGTGTTCCTAATTCATTTATACCTCTTTTCTGTCTAAAAGTATTTTGTTTTAATTGTCCTAACAACGTTTCTATTACTAAAATTTCTGATTCGATCTCTGCATTGTTAAACTCTAATTTAGCGTTGTTATTTTTGTCGTAAAGAACACTGTTATAAAAACTTTGTTTTTCATCGGCTATAATATTCTCAAAATATGTTAAGTTTGTAATATGAAATATGTCACCGTACTTGCTGTAAATAGAAACATCTCCGTTTTCAATTAGTACATAGTCCTGTTGAGTGTAATCAATGATGTCAGCTTTTGTTAAACTGAGTAGTAATCCAAGAAGTAAAAGTAGCATGATGGCAATCTAAAATATTATAATTTTAAGTTATCTTTATGAACAATTCTATTCCTATTATAAATTATTGTCTTATTCCCTAGATTTTCCTTTACTTGTTGCTTTTTATACCTAGTTTTTAGTTTATTTCTTTCTCCTATAACTTTTTTGTAAATTATTTGGCCTGGATAAAACTGTTTATCCGTTCTATTTTTATTATGAGTCGCGAGAATTTTTTCCTGCGCTTGCCAGAGGATGTTGGGTAAATTTTCATGTTTTACTTTATTGTGGAAAACATCTGTTGGTTTGAAATTTATTACCGAATGTATAGTCATATTATATTGTTGAGCAGCTCTTAGAATTGTTTCTAAGTCGCTCACTATGTTGTATTCCTCTTTTATGCATCTAGCGATTTCGATTATTGTGGAATGGACTCTCTCTATTTGTCCATTAGTAGTTCTGTGCCTTGGATCGCAAAATAAATTTCAATATTTAATCTCTGCATTAATGATTTGAATTGAGGTGTTGTGAAGCTTGGTTCTAATGTGATTCGTTTTACATCTGGGAAAGTTTGGAGCAGTTCCCAAATTTTTTCCTCAATGTCAAATTTATCCTCAATGTTTTTTAATATTAGAAATTTAGAATAAGCGTCTACACACGTGATGAATTTTAACTTTTGGGCATAAAAAATGTCTATGTGAAATTGTTCTCCTTCTTCTTCTGGAATTGGAGCTTTACATATTGGAATTTTTTTAGGATGCCTATCGTATTTATTTCTATTGCATATTATGCAGTTTCGCACGTACTCTTTCATTTTCTTTCTCATTTGCGGCCAATAGTATAGCTTTTCTATTTGTTTCATATTTTCGTTATAGCTTCGATGAGCTCTGTTGTGTGTCTGTTCAATTGTACCCGATTGATCTTCTGTATTGATGATATCCATTGGAAAAAGTTTGGTGTACACAAATTTATTTTGAAATGTTTCTTTCAGCGGCCGCTGTATTTCGTGCAAATCCTCTACTGTGCAGTGTATTGCCGTTACCAAGTTAGGTCTAATATATTCTTTCAAAATTGTGAGTAGATTCTCAACTGTGTCGTATTCGATCAAGTGTCTTTTGTTTCCAAAAGTTTCGATTAGTTCATGGATAGTGAACCTATTTTTACATAATATAATTTGCTGCTTAAACTGGTTTAAGGGTTTTTTAGTTTCTTGTATATGAACGCTTTCGCTACTTTGTGCGGAATGGTGCGATTCATAATCTGGTGAATCTCCTGATTCGCTGCTCAAATTGTTCAATTCAATGCGGGATAGTGCGTCAGCTACTATATTAGTTTTTCCTGGCTGATACATAAATTTAGGAGAAAATTCTTCGATAAACGCGTGCCATCTTTTCATTTTGGAATTTGGGTTACGCGTTGATAATGCAAATGTTAACGGTTAATGATCTGTATGAATTTCAAGATAAGTTACCCCATATAAGTAGTTACGAAGGGTTTTCAACGCCCATACAATGGCGTACAACTCTTTTTCGTTTGTAGCATAATCTCTTTCCGTTTTATCGAGATTTTTGGATATAAAAGTAATTGCTTTATTTTCCTGAGAAAGCACTGCGCCTATTGCAACGTTAGATGCATCAGAAGTCAACACGAATTGTTTTGAATAATCGGGTTGCGGCAACTCCATTTCTGACGCTAAATGCCTTTTCAGTTTGTTAAAAGCAGAAATACCATTTTCATCTATTTCTATAGTTACTTTTTTTGACATGTTTTTTGAAACTCTACCGTTTCCTGCTGATAAATATTTGGTCAAAGGCTTTGCAATTGCCGCGTAATCCTTAACAAATTTGCGATAATATCTTGTAGTGCCTAAGAATCCTCTTAGTTCTCGTAAATTTTTAGGTATTGGGTAATTCAGTATCACCTCGATTTTATGGGGATCTGTTTTGACAATATTTTTGGCTATAATATAACCCAGAAACTCTATTACAGTTTTGAAAAATTTTGATTTTTCAAGTGAAATTTTCATGTGGGCTTTACTTAGTATTTCAATTACCATTTCTAAATCCTTCATGTGTTGTTCTAAATTTTCAGAAAAAATTATTATGTCATCCATATAAACGTGACATATTTTTCCTAAGTGGTCACGCAATATATCGTCCATTGCTCTTTGAAAAATTCTTGGAGCATTGTTTAGACCAAAAGGCATGCGTAAAAATTCGTATTTTCCGTTATTACTGGAAAAAGCTGTTTTCTCTATGTCATTTTCTGACATTAAAATTTGGTGAAAGCCCGACTCCAAGTCTATACTTGAGAAATATTTTGCTTTCCCCAAATTTGATAAAATTATTTTTGTATCCGGGATAGGGTAACGATCGGAAACAGTATGTTCACTTAATTTTTTGTAGTCTATAACCATTCTAAATTTCGGTGAACCGTCATCATTTGTTCCTTTTTTTGGTACGACCCAGATTGGTGAGTTATAGGGACTTTTACTAGGTCTTATAATTTCTTCATTTAACAACTTGTTAATTTCTTTATTCACAAATGAATTCACGGATAGGGGGTATGGATATTGTCTGCTCCATATAGGTTCCTTACTTTCCATTCTTATTTCTGCTCTTACGTCTGTTCTAAACGCAAAGCTTGTATTAATTATAAAATGAGTTTCTTCAATTTTATCTTTTATGATTTCTTTTAACACTGATAATTCCTCATTTTCATGTCTAGGATTTTTATCCAAATTATAATCTTCAGCTGATAATTCTGAGCCTCTTTCACTCAGTATTGAATAATTGTCTACGATATTGCCAGAATATTCGTCGACTAGCGCTTTAGGATCTTCATGTCCCAAAGAAAAATATTTATTTAGTATAATACTATTGCCGGTATAAACTTCGGCGGGCGCCTTAGGATTTTCCCGTCCCAAGGGGTTTAAATTTTCTGCATTTTTGCAATCTCTAACTTCTTTTTTTGTTTTGCCGGTAAAAACTTCGGCGGGCGCCTTAGGACTTTCTTGTCCCAAGGGGTTCAAATTTTCTGCATTTTTTAACTTCTTTTTTGTTTTGCCGGTAAAAACTTCGGCGGGCGCCTTAGGACTTTCCTGTCGCAAGGGGTTAAAATTTTCTGCATTTTTGCACTTTTTAACTTTCTTCATATTTTGTTTTTCACCTTCTTTTTTTATGTTGCCGGTAATTCCATCGCCGGGCGCCTTAAGACTATCATGTCCCAAGGGGTTTAAATTTTCTTTTTCGCACATTGAATATTAATATTCATGCTTTTTTTCAACTTTTTTATTTCCACTTTTTATTTTATAATAAATTTTTCCATTACGTAAATCGATACTCGCTTCTATACCCTTTAAGAAATTATATACTAAAAGAAGGTCCGATTCCAAATTTTCTATTTCGTAGAAAATTTGTTGGACTCCAAATAATGTTATTATGTGGAAATATTTTATAATAGAATATCCATTTATAGTTTTCACTCTTTTGTAGATGGATAACTCATTCTTATTTTCATAGACTCCTTGCTTAATGTAGCAAGTAGTCGCTCCAGTATCGATAAGAGCTTTTAGTTTCTTGTTTAGTTTTCCGTCGTGGACGGTGGTGTAGGGGAGGACGTCCCCTCTTCGCCTAAAAAATGACTTTCGTAAATATTATTTATTCTCTGTGATTTTTCCTGCGGTCGGAAACTGTGGGTGCTTTCCCGTGGTCGCTTCGGAGCGTGAGCATTTTGGGTTTGGACCCTATTTGAATTAGCATTTGTGCTAGCCATATGCGGTATAATATTCTGGTTTGAAAAACCGCTGGTTTGCCTCTGGTATTGTAGTTTTGGTTATACACTCTTGACGCAGATGGATCAACATAAATTGGCTCTGCTTTGGGTGTAATGTTCCTTGAAGGGAACCGCAAATTATTACTTGAATAATTTTGTTTTGCTTTGGTTCTCTCATTCGCGAAGTTTTGGGCAAAACGTGCCCTTTGGTTATTCGACTCTAGCTCTTGAGCCTTGGCTAAAGCATCTGGCAAGTCTTGCGGGTTTAATTAAAAAATTATATCCCTCAATGGCGCATTCAGACCAGTAATGAATGTTCTTAACGCATGGTCTCTATTCTTTTGGTTTAATTCCTTTGTGATGTCTACATTAGTGCCATGTGTCATTATGGTCTTATTGGTTAACAAGGTCAGTTTTTTGTTGACCAAGTTATAATACTCGACAACCGACATAGCGCCATGTCGAAGGACACTTAGCTCCTGCTCGATTATATGGGACGTTTGTCCGAATATGCGAAATCAAGACGAGCTATTAAGGCATCAAAGTTTAAAACTGTACCATGGTTCGTTAGCGTGTCGTTAGCGTCATGCGTGATTTTATTTCTTAAAATTTTAAGGGCCGCGAAGTATTTCCTACTTCCCCTTACATGTAAGCTCATTGCGTTATGAGCCGCTTCTCTCCAGCTAACATACGCGTTGATCTTTCCCGGAAATTCAGGTAAACATTTGATAACGTCCAGTGACTCCTGGCAAACTATGTTATCATTAGTGGTTTCTGATTGATAGTCAGTAGCCCTAGGGGTATTTACATCTACATGACCCCTTAGCCTATCAATTTCCTGCCTTAGCGTAATAGTACTTTCTGCTATTAAACGGGAAATCAGGTCCACGGTTAAATGTGCGTTGCCGTTTTCCATTTTGATTTTTTACTGTTTTTTGTAAAAATTTACCTTTTTTATTATTATTATTTGTATTTTTCATTATAGTGCTTTTTCACTTTGAAGTGTCCCGTAGGAATCGCAAAGCTAAGCTTAATTTATAAGACCGGAGTTCCCCCTTGTGGTGGTGAATCGCGGCTTTTTATTTAAAAATGTAATAAGCTGTGCTAGCCTTTTTTATATTAAAATTACTTTTATTCACATATGGACACTTCGTCGTCTTGTGATTATTGCCACAATTTTCGCAATAATGTAAACGCTCGTATTTTGGTTTGCTGGGACTATTGCCCATTAGAATGTTTTTTTTTTGTTTTGATCCCTTCTAGGAAGGAAAGGAGGCTTTTATACTCTGGAGGGTCAGGAGTTCAGAATCGCAGAATTAAGCTTAATTTATAAACCGGAATTGCGATTTCATTAGTAATTTATGGGCTGTAAAAGCCGTATTTTATATTTATTTTGCGAATCATTGCTACTGATTCTTCTTTAAGCGTCTCTTTGTTGTCGTAGTCCGCTGCAGTCGCTTTTTTATTTTTTCCAATAAATTTAAAAACTTTTTCTATACATTTAGCTTTATTTTCGTCAGTCAGTATGTCTTTGCGAGTGTTTACTTCTAATTCTAAGTTGTCTACAATGCTATTTATGTCGTCGTAGTCCAAACCTATTGGTAAAGCGTCAGTCATATTTGTATAGTTGTTTTTTACACATGCATATATATATATATATATAAATAAGACTTCTTAAGTGTAAATAATACAACTTACTCTATTCCATGTGAGCTTGCTGTTGTAATTACAGAAGGTAAGGTGTTGCGTGTTGTTGCCGCTGTCCTTATTGACGTTACTATGCCTTGCTCTATTTGTTATTATCCTCTTATTGTCACTTCGTTCCTTCTCAGTGTTTTTTAGGCTTTCATTTGTGTTTATGCCTTGCTGGTATCGCACAAATTGGAGGATCAGTTAGAAAATCATTATTTTTTGTTCACTGTGTCTGAAAGTACTTTAGAAACTTTGAGTTTTCCTTTGCCTTGTCGTGGCTCGTTTATTTGGAACACGCACTTTTATGATTTTCTCAATTTGGATTTTCTGAGATTTATAGTTAGTGCTTCTTGCTTTGCTTTAGGCGTTTATTTAATTTTACGCATTTAAATTGTTACTTTGTGTGGTACATTTGCTTGTAATTTGGAAGCTATGTATTATTTAAAGTGCACATAATCACTGTTCATTTTAAACACGGGTTTTTAAATTAACCGCATTTTTTATGATTAACCGATCGATAACGCGGTTTTAGATTTTTAATTTTTTCTCCTCCAGAAAGGATACTTATTTCTATTTTTTCCCCTTAAAAATGTATTCCATCTTTTTTAGAAATACTTTTTTAGTTCGGCATTATTCGTCTTTTTTGGAGAGGATACTTTTTGTTTTCTCCTTATTTAGCCAAAGACCTCCGTTTTCACACACGCACTTTCACCACTTTTAATATTCTTTGGGTAAGGATAATTGGCGTTTTCTCCTTATTTACCCAAAGATATTAGTTGCCACTAGCAGTTTTAAATTCGCGAGTGCCCCACGATGTTGGGCGCCACTTAAGCTTTCCTTTCCGAGGAAAGCGTTTTTAAAAAATAAAAACGATGCTTTTCTTAATCCGCATCTCGCGGACAATTATCAGAAGTGAAGTCTTTAAGCTAACATTTGTTTTCTTAAGAACTAATTTCACAATGACGCTTTGGCGTTGCATCAGCCAGTGCATGGATGAAATGCCAATGCGTGAGAAATACGATATTGTTTTCTTAATCAAAAGTTTACAGAAGGAACGGAAAAGACATTGTTGCACGTTATGTGTTCTGGGCTATTGGAATGCGGTTATGTTTACATTGGCTACAATGCCGCTGTGTGGTCTTTTGGTTTGAATGCAAAAATGCTGCTGTCAGCATTTTGGCTATTTGTTATTTGAGTTCAATTAAAAATTTAGTATAGGAATATGCTTTCTGTATTTGAACTTTATTGTTTACAATATGTATTTAAACCGTTATATGTGGTCTGCTGTTAACTTACATGCACAGTTTCGGATGAAAACCGACACATATACATATATGCGAAAGTCTGCGAATCACGGGAGTTTTTGTTTTGTTTAAAAAATTCCTAAACTAAGCTAAATAATGTACCTTTACAATCCTTCCATTTTTT